GGTGGGCGTGTCAGACAGCATGTTGTCTGTGACGTTGGGTGGGTTGCCAGTTTGAGTGCAGTGGCTCCACCGAAAACATTATATTTCCCACAATTTAAGCTTCTGCATTTTCCAAATGCACTAGTATTATTCAAACGTATTGTTCGGTTTGTAAGCCTCGTACCGAACAGTTTAATATGAATACGTGTATTGTTACACCCCTACAAACAAATAACCATAGCTGTGGCATCATAATGAGGTTATTATGAGGTGGTTCAACTGTAGTAGGACAGTACAGAAGGCCCAGGTATAAAATGCACGGCCCGCCACTGAAGAATACACATTCACACACTTTTATACATGCAAACTAAATATCAAAGCATTTAAAAGTGTGTCCCTGTTCGGAACAAAGCCTCATTCCTGAAACATTTAACCTGAATCCTTAATGCATTCATCGGGCGACAAGGAGAGAAAGGAATAAATGTTAACATGATGTGATTCTGAGACCAGCATGGTCTGTGCAGGTAGATAAGCGTCTCAGGAGGTTGGCGGCTCACCTCGGCCACTGTGGTGACATTCATTAATCGCAGTCTCAAGAGGCAGCATGTCTCTTTTTAAATCCATTTGAATGGACAGAGCCTTGGGAAATTAATGTGCTTCTCATTGAATCCAGTTAGAGTCTGTTTTATGTCAAACAGTGCTGTGCATTTATTATAGTAGACAATTTATTATGGATGGAGATTCAGTCACTACTTAAAAAAGAGTTAATAATTTGCTTTTGTGGTGTGGTGGTGTGGTCTTTGTGAAGTAAGCTCAGCTCAATCCGTCAGACAGAAACACTTCCCTCATCTAGTTCTGGGTGCAATCAAACGGCATCACAGCTAAAAAATCATCTTCTCCAGACACGCTATGCTTCTGGCTGTGCAGTATGTAATCAACATAAAGGAATACAGTTGCATTTTTTCCGAGTCCAAGACAAACTATCTCATGCAGAAAATTCAAATATAAAATTAATATGAATATAGGCTGCAACTTTTTTCACTTTGCCTCGCTTTACTTAGATATATTTCAGAAATATATTTTAGTTTAGGTATTGTATAGTCTATTGATGAAATAGCATGAATCACTATGAGGAGGCAAATGAAAACAATTCACCAGAGGCAGGGATATATAGAGCAGAGGGGGGAACACCCTCCCCCACCCACTGTATGTGCCCATACATACTGTAATCTCTCCACAGGAGGTTTAATCAGGGGATCAGCTGGGGAGTGACAGCTCAGATCACATAGAGATAAAGTGATAATTAGTGATATTTATTCATCAACTCCACAAATTAGGCCACAGCCCTGAAAACCACGCGGACAGGAAGGAAAGGGACAGCTCTGGCTTTCATTTAAAATCTGATAGCACCCTCAGTTTTGGCAGTTGTCAAATTGGGCAACAGGAGCTTGTTAGCACAGAACACAACAGGGCTAGTGAGTCTCACGTCTATAACACCGATTGTGACAGAGCAATGCAATACATCCTAATTATCCAGGCACTATAAAGGTAATACAAATTGGCTGAGCAAGCTAACGGAGGGTGGCCTGTACCTACACGTAGGCTATAGCTAATACTTTAGGCTTTTACCCTGCTCTTATATCCCATGTGCTTCATATGTGCTGCTGAACTGTCATGCTCCGTCTCTCCACTACCCTGTAGAAAACCACTCACAGTTTTGTGTGCGCTAAATACAGATGACTTAAAGGTCATTGTGGGCATCAATCAGGATGTCAGCTGACTAAATATTAACAGAGTGAAAAGGAGTCTGCAGTGAAGTATTAGAAGCCAGTCTTGACTAGCTGGCAGGCAGCCTGATCACACTGGATAGTCCACTGTCCTGGCTTCAGTTGGTCCCAGGAGCATATGGAATAATACGGTAAGAAGGACTACAGATCCTTGAGTGAAATGTATCAGTGCTGTTTAAAATGCCAATAGTTTTATGGATTAAACAAACATAATATTACCTGCAGTCAAACGCCATGCAAACATGATCCGTACGATTACTGACATCAACATCAGACACATAAATCCCCTACAAACGCAACAACTGCAGTTGTTATCCATTGCCAAGATCCCTTCCATCTTTGAAAATAAAAAGAGCCTGACTTTATGGGCAACTAGACAGCTGGACAGCATTACAAGTTGAGCATCCGGCCTCATAAGAGCATGCGCTTTAGATTCAAATGCCGTTTCAACCCAGGTGATGGTATGAGTGGGGCACTCACCAACAAGATGAAAGCAAAGTACAGCCATCAATGTAGGACTGAAACGGCCATTACTACTCAGCCTAGAGGAGGGATGTTCAGACCTGCCGGTCCCATTGACCTGAGTACGGCTGAACAGTACATGCCAACAGGGATGTGATGATCTACAATACGAGCTTGATGGTGCAGGCCGGCTTACATACACAGTAGTAACATGCAACTGATCAGAAAAAATGATGAGCTTTGATGGTGTAAGATACAGCAGACACATGGGATTGTTGCTGATTTGTTCTCTGCTACAGTTTACAGACTGCTGCTACGGACCCGGCAGTGTGCTGTCCTCCTTCAGGACCACAGACCCGGCAGTGCGCTGTCCGTGGTCCTGAAGGAGGACAGCAGTGTGTTGTCAATGGTCCTGTAGGAGGACAGCAGTGTGCTGTCAATGGTCCTGAAGGAGGACAGCAGTGTGTTGTCAATGGTCGTGAAAGAAGACAGCAGTGTGTTGTCAATGGTCCTGAATGAGGACAGCAGTGTGTTGTCAATGGTCCTGAATGAGGACAGCAGTGTGTTGTCAATGGTCCTGAATGAGGACAGCAGTGTGTTGTCAATGGTCCTGAAAGAAGACAGCAGTGTGTTGTCAATGGTCCTGAAGCAGGACAGCAGTGTGTTGTCAATGGTCCTGTAGGAGGACAGCAGTGTGTTGTCAATGGTCCTGTAGGAGGACAGCAGTGTGTTGTCAATGGTCCTGTAGGAGGACAGCAGTGAAGGCTGAAAGTCAGGACAGCACAGTACTCGACTGGAACTGTCAAGTACTTCAACAGGAGCCTATTACTATGGTCCCTAGTGTGCTTAGAATACAAAATGTGTGTTATATAACATTTCTATTTATTATGAGTTCATAAGAAATATATAGTCTCGCTAAAGATGATAGGTGAGTATAGATTACACAAATACTCATCCAAGAGGATAATTCTTACAGGGTGAATTCTGAGTTATTCATTCTGATCCCTATTTTCCCACGTTTTTCAGACTAAGTGACAAATGTTTTTCTGAGTTGAAGTCTCGTTATAAAATCATTCAAGAGGGTTAGGACTCATCCACATTGTCCAAATAAGCTACATATTCAGCCATGGCATTGAAAATATTTAAGATAATACTAAGCCACGCTTTTTGTACTCCAAAACAACATTCCTCTCTCCAACTCTCACTCACGTTTCCTCCATTGTCTTCCAGCAAAAAGTCACATCTCGTGAGATTTGAGAACGAGATTTCCCCTTGAGCGAGACTTAGTTAAACACAATAATAAACAGACCAGATCTAGCAAAAGGTAACGAGAAAAAGTTTTATTTTTCTTTCCATAATATTGTCAGACACTTAAAATAACAATCTTAGCCTGTCAGTGGAAATAAAGCACTTTCAGTGGATGTATATTAGTGAGTGAGTGTGCACCTCTGTGTCTGTCCACTGCTAATCTGGCATTCTGCTGCAGCAAACTGCATAATATTTTGGGTGGCCAGTTATGGCTGCATACTCGAGGACCTCTCGTGATTGCGGTGACTCACACTTTCTTAAAACACCTTTTACTGCATCTTTTATACTGCCATTGACCGCATGCTGACTCCTCACTCACTACTCTTAGTGATACCACAGCTGAGTGAGTCTCCGACCCCCTGCTGCGGCTTTGCGTCCAGAGACACGATAGAAAACCATAGACTCTATGGGGAAAAGAAGTTTGCCTACTCTTATTATTTGGGGTCTATGAGAACTACGCATACAGCTGAGTGTGGTTTGTGTTCATTCAATCACACAACACAGCAGTGGTTGTTGCAGGCACACCTGGTGGAGATCAGCACTACTGAGTGCACCTTTCTAGTTGTGTAATCAAGTTGTCTTAAATATTAATTATGTTATTTTGTTATCACAGGCCTGTGCCATTTAGACATATCCTGCATCATGTGGGTGTTTAAGTCCAACCTAAAGTGAAACTAATGAAAATGACTGTCAGCAAGAAAAGCCTGGTGTTGTGTAGACAGCCTCAAACACACTTCCTTGTCACTCTCTTTAAACTCGTTGCTACGGGCTCATCCATCGCCACGATGTGAAAGCAAAACAGCAACACTTGAACTGTTAACGCTGCCCCATGCCCTCCGCCTCCTACACATCACATCTTACCAACTATTGTATAAAACCCTTCCTTTGGCCGTTGTGATTATTGCTGCACATTTCCCGACAGCACTTGAAAGCAACATAAATCCGTCTGTGTCCAGTAAGCCTCTGAGGACGTAGAGGAGGGGAAAGGTCACCGCAGACAACCTCCCGCCCTGAGGAATTGCTAGTCAATCCATCTCTACGCCCACAGCATTTATTGTATGTGTGATTTGTTTTCTTCTTTTTTCCACCTCGCATATCCTCCCTCCCTCCATCCCTCCTCAACACACACTGCCTTTGCTCTTCCTCTCCTAATAGAAGCGCACTTTTTTTCTCCCCTCCACCTTTAGTTCTGCACCGTCACACAACAATTAAAAGCGCCAAATCCCTCGTGAACAGCGCTACAGATTAGAAGAGTATCGCTTCTGAATTGAGTGTTTTCCACGGACTAATCCTCTGAAATCCCCCCTTTTTTTGTCCAACGGCGGGAACATGATAAAACAGACACACTTCAGCCACGTCTGTTTCTCCCCTCACTAAACACTGCAGGCAGCGTTCAACTTCAGCGGAGATAATTCAGAGGCAGCAGCGGCGGATAAAATGGATAAAAAAGCAGCACGGACTCACCTGAGAAAGACCGTCTCTCCTTGTCGGACGGTGATGTTGTCCATCACTTTGTTGTCGGATTGAGAATCCCCTTGGCTGCGGACCGGCAACCCTGCAGGCACAATAAGCAACATCTTCAGAGAGAGAAGAAGTGTGCGTTTGGAAAGAGCGACAAAGTATCCCCGGACAGACATCGTCTTCAGCCGAGAGGTGTACAAAAAAATCCCACAGCGATGAGTCACTTTTTCGTCCCGTAAACGGTCCCGTGGAGATTATTTACCCCCAGTTCATCAGTGTTAATCCAAATCTTGTCGCCGGGTAGCCACGGTGTGCAGGGGAGGAGACACACATCCAGACTGCACTGTAACATCCACTGTTTACTGGTAGCTTTTTAGAAGGACAGGAAAAAATAAAAGAAGCTTCTTCACAGCGGCTGGTGGTGTTATTTCACCAAGTTCTCTACCATAAGAAGACATAAAGAACCTGCCTGCTTCACGGGGCTATAGTGTAGTGTGGTTTTATATTTATTTTTAATTGCTTTGTGTTACTTTGTAGTTGTGTTGTGTATATTTATATTTACTTTATGTCTCCTTGTAGTTGTGTTGTATATATTTATATTTACTTTATGTCTCCTTGTAGTTGTGTTGTATATATTTATATTTACTTTATGTCTCTTTATAGTTGTTTTGTATATATTTATACTTACTTTATGTCTCTTTGTAGTTGTGTTGTATATATTTATATTTACTTTATGTCTCTTTGTAGTTGTGTTGTATATATTTATATTTACTTTATGTCTCCTTGTAGTTGTGTTGTATATATTTATATTTACTTTATGTCTCTTTGTAGTTGTGTTGTATATATTTATATTTACTTTATGTATCTTTGTAGTTGTTTTGTATATATTTATATTTACTTTATGTCTCCTTGTAGTTGTGTTGTATATATTTATATTTACTTTATGTCTCTTTGTAGTTGTGTTGGATCTCTTTGTAATTGTTTTGTCTTTGTGGTTCTTTTGTTTGTCTTTGTGGTCATTTTGAGTCTTTTCAATTGCTGTGTCTCTCCTGAGGGTTGTTTGCCCCTTTTCATAGTCGTTTTGAGTCTATTTGTGTCACTTTGCAGCTGTTTTGCATTTCTTTGTGGTGGTTTTGGTCTCTTTGTAGTCCTTTTATAATTCTTTGTAGTTATTTTTAGTCTCGTCTTTTTTGAGTTACATTTTGTAGGAGAAGGCCAGGGGGGAAGGCCCGTTGAGTAATCCATCCATGTATGAAGTCAGTTTTCACGAGTCACGGTTACTCCCGGATTTTACCCGCGGGCCTTTGTGGAGGTATTGTAGCCGCGTAATATTCCTCGGCCTGGATGAGCGTGTTTCTGCCGGAGACAGGCGGCGTATTGCGGTAGTATTCTGACCGCGTAAATGTTGATTAGAAACGTATTTGTAATACGTCAAACACAAACGTAATCAGGGAGAAAAGGGAGAAAATATGTTTCTAGTCAAACGTAATTGAGAATGTATTTTAGTTTTGGGGGAACGTAATTTTTAGAGGGTTGGAAAATCATCATGGCAATCACACTCATAGCTAGCTAATGTTCTCTCAGATGCAGTGAAACGAAACAAATCGTTCGGATGTGTTGGAAAGCCAAATGAATATTTCCTAAGGAAAAGGGACGAGCTTCAAGCACAACAGACAGTCATCACAACATTAGCAACTGAGTCTGAAAACACTTTCAGAGCTAGCTATGCTAGGTTGCGGCTCGTAAAGCTTGTAGCAAGAAACCCTTTATGATCACAGAGGAGCTATATCTTGCCTATAGTGCCGTGGATATGTGTAAGACTTACTGGGGGAAGCAGCCAGTCATGTCATGTTATGATTTTTTTAGTGCTGGGCAAGTTAACGCGTTATTATTGCGTTAACGCATTCATTAATTAACGCCGAAATTATTTTATCGCGCGTTAACGCATTTTTTTTTTTTATTATTTTGAAAGTCTGTTGCTCACTGGCAGAGGTGGAGGAAGTCTTTGTGAGACTACGTTGGATGCAGCGTGTGGGAGAAGTATAGATAAACAAAAGCAAGACAAGCTAACAAATGCTACAGAGAAGTGGATACAAACTGCAGCCGATTAGTGTTGTGGAAGATGTCGGTCTAAGGAACGTTCTCACCTTTAGGATCGCAACGAATGACGGCACGTATGAGCCTCAAGACGCACCATCACAAGAAGAATACCCGAGTTGTATGAAAAGGAGAGGACTACAAAAGCGACGGCGTTACAACGTGCACCAGCTGTTGCTCTCACTGGAGACTACTGGACATCGCTGGGTAACCATCATCTCCTCGGAGTTACAGCATTATATTGATGAACAGTAGAGCTGCATTCACATGCTCTGACTGTCATGAAGACACAAGACAGACATTTAGATGAAACGTGCTGAAACATTGTATTCATGTTGCACAGCAGTGGAACGTTTCACATAAAGTCAGCACACTGAGCACATATAGTGAAGAGATAGAACTGCTGCTGTGTAAAGGGAATACTGCTGTTAAAAAGAACCGTATTTGTTTAAAGTGTTTGCAAACCAAATGTTATTGCACTTTTGTTCATATAGCAATACTTTTAAAATAAAAGTGCAATACACTACTTTTGAATTCATTATTTAACTTTGCCATAACAATGCGATTAATCGCGATTAAAATTGTAATCGTTGCCCAGCACTATATTTTTTATTATATGTTTTGAAAGGAGGTCCTCAGAATGTTTTTAGCTATCAGCAGCGGGCCTTAAGTCACGTAAGGCTGTGAACCCCATCTATAAGATACATTCTTCAAAAGGCCTTCACCAGCTTACATTAACATCAGTCTTCCTTTTTCATGGAAGACATTCTGACACGTGACAGCAGGGTGTAAATTATAAAATCTACAACTGCTGAAATATTCTACGATCTATTTAGCTGCTTCAGTTTCAGACCTGGTATTGTTCATTTCTGGAAGAACTGAATAAAACGGAACCATCATTCATTTGAATTGTGACGCCTGTGCTTTTCCTACTATGACAAGTCTAAATGCCTGCTGGGAAAAAGGACTGTCATGTGACAATTTTGATTCTGTACAGGCATTTAAAGAAGTGGGACCATGTGACTAAAGAAATTTCACTGACAATGTTGCTATATAGTGTGAGTTATACGTATATGCCACCATAGATAGATCACCTTGAGGCAACACTGTGTGAATGTGTTGTTAAGATAAAACATAAAAGCTTTATTAAGATGCGTAGTAGTTTAATCAAAGCAGCCATTACAGTCAGAGAGGTCCATCACAGAGCTACATGACCCAAACTGTATTGTTGTGGATGATGCAGCAATACGGTTAATTCTCATCTCTATTTTATTATGGAGCAACAGATTACAGGGAAAAATAAAAAGATGTTTTGTAGAAATAAAGTCAAACGTTAAGTAGCTGAAACTTTTGTCTCATTCGCACACACATTATATTATGTTTTAAATTCACACTATATTATTCCACTATTATTTCCAGTTCCTATTCAATTTTATTTCAGTCGGAAGCCATGCTCCTTGGAAGAGATGCAGCTGCGAGTTTTCATTTGTGAGCCTGTGCTCACATTTACTGATTCATGCCGCAAGCTCCTTTTATATCAGTTGGCCGTCTGCTGTGTGCGCGGCACACCGGGCCCTCTCCGTCTCTCAGCGCAATCAATGCTTGATTACTCTGATTTCATTTTAACTACCTCTGAGGATTCTTTCACCTGCAGCTCATAAAGTAAGAAAAAAAACTCAGTTGGAATGGAAAGGGTTAAATAACTGGAAACAAGTCGAATGCTTTGCTTCAGACAACTAGATCAGGACAGCGTCCCACTTTTAGAATGTGGGTGTCAAAGTGGTTCACGGGATCCAGACGGTCTGCATGAAACCAGAGCAACATGAAGAACAGAGGTTCCTTCTCTTGACCTCTGTGTTCATTCTGCAACCTCTTTGATGTCAAGTGCCACTTTTCATTTTCTTGTTAATCAGTGTGTCACATCAACATTGAGTTTAATTATGACACCACATCAACAATGAAATCTCCAACAGATCTCTAATTGTATTCCATTCATAAAGTCAATGTGCATAGCAACATAAAAAAATTAAAAAAATCTCCCAACCAGGGCATTGTGCTTCACGACAAGCAAGCTGCCATCTTTATGAAAACATCCAAATCTGAGTTGAAATCATTAACCTACCAAACTTCTACCAATCTCTGTGAGGACGGCAATGAGTAGCAGCCAATAGGAGGCAGAGTAGGGCGGGTCTTCACAGAGGTTGGGGGGGACGAATCAAACTACTGTAAATAACAACCAATTTGACATGAGAAGGCACTTCAGCATTTACAAAAAACAATTTAATATAAACTATCTTAGTTTAGAAACAAACAGTGAAATATGGAGTGTGACGCTGGACACGAGCAATAGAAAGCTACTGCGTTGTGTGGTTCATGAGCCTGCAGGTGAACAGGCAATTCTAAACCAGTGAGTCACAGTCTCTAGGTTCTTTGTCACAAACCCATACGTGCCCACAAGTAAGTGAAGCAGCCTGAAGGCTTACAGTAGATGAGCAATATTCCACACCTTTAATACCAAAAGTCGGTTTTGTTTTTTCATGATGTTTGTATTGTTATAATGCCTGATTTAATAAAATGAGAAAGGGTGGAAAGGCAGCTTCTCTGATAATCACTAAAATTCATGCATGGTGAGTTTAGCCTACTGTGGGTCTGTCAGCAGTGTCCTATTTCCATTCACAGCATCACATGATGCTGAAAAAAGTCAGCATGCAATTATTCAGTTTGTGCTCCCAACAACTCGTACGTTCACTCTTTAATCCAGACATTCACCAGTGCTTTCCCATACCCAGTTTTTTGCCTCTCAGCACTTTTACGTCAATTTGTCACACTGTAGAGTGCAGGTAATGAAGTCATACAAATGTAAATCACAACAGCTGCAATCGAAAATATATTACTAGTGAACATGCAATTTGCATTTTTTGTGCTATACAATTTTAATAAATTCAATAAAAAAATAATAATAATACACTTCATGTCCGGGTTTCCTCATCTTCTGGTTGAGGTTTCCACACAGCGAGAATGATAATGAGTTTTAATTAGTTTGACTCCCAAGGTGCAAGTTAGTCATTTGTGTCTGTGCCTGAAAGGCCTCAAGAAGCTGCAGCTGCCTGGCCAATAAATGCCAAAATCCATTAAAAATGTGAATATGATGGCATGCATTCATTATGGAATGGAATTCAAGGCCTCTCTGACTTCAAAACACATCAATCACTTTCTGCAAGACCATCATTTAAAAAAATGAGTGCTGGGCAAGTTAACACGTTAATTTTGCGTTAACGCATTCATTAATTAACGCCGACAATTATTTGTCGCATTTGTTTAATTTATTATAATTTTTTTTTGTTTTTTTGTTTTTAATTGAAAGACAAGAGACAATACATATACATAA